GACCGAGTCAGAGTTCTGACTCGGACCGAGTCAATACTCGGAAAAAGTCACTTTTCACAAGGATTAGGGTTCCTATCTAATAAAAGGGGTATTGGACGCCGTCCTCAACCCTAAGACATACTTTCAGAACCCTAAGACAGATCTAGAACACAAGAAAATCGTTTCTTTTGAGGTTTTAGTTCTAGGGATTCGATCCCAAGTCTTGGAAACCCTATATACTTCACAGATCCTAGCAAATCGGTTCCAAAAGCGTTTGGAATCCTTCCCGTCGGTGTGGATACGTGTAGAGGGACTGTAACTTCAGTCTTAGGTGATTAAACAGGCCCCGGATCAACTTCTACTTCCGTTTCTTCAGGAAAGAGGTAAGAACTCGATTCCCACGGTGATATACATGGTCTGTTCGGGTTTTGCAGGTTTGGTTGCGTGTGACGTTTGACTAGATTTAGATCTTTCTTCCGCTGCATGAAACCTAGTAAACCAAACCCTAGATCGATATGATCGCATGCTAGGAACCCGTAGTGAAACCCAACAAGTTGCACCTGTCACAGAATTCACCTCACTGAACTGTAAATTCTTTTTTCTGTGTAACTCTCAACATATTTATAGAACATCCCAGCAACACTATCCCCATTTTTGTTCCTTTTACATCGTGCTCCTTTGTTCACCAGTGTCTTGATGTTTTGGGAGATGTGATACGCACAATATGCATGTTTAGCTCTCTTATACACATCACAAACAACATTTGATATGCTTTGATGTCGATCCGAGATCACAACCATGTCATTGCTATCTGTAATCACTTCTACCAATTTTCTCATAAACCAATTTTCTGTATCAATTATCCCCAAGCTAAAGGATACAGATTTCGGTTACCATCTTGGGTTGTGGCGACAAGAATCCTTTATATACTGTTTTAATAGATGTCGCATCTACGGCGATCACTTTCCGCATCTCGCACCATCCTTTGATACAAATACCCAAAACAGAAAAAGCATACTTAAAAGTTTTTCCATCATTTTTCAATTGTCTATCCGCTATTGTACCTTCATTTTTTTCCTTCAACATATGAAAATAACTCGGAAGCCTATTATAATTCTCCACCAGATTTTTCCAAACAACATTTTGAGCTTGTTGTCTCCCTCTCTATGCCGTTATATAAGACATCTTGCATTTATAAGCTTTACTTACCAAAGACATTATTCTTTTCACTCTTGGAAGATCAACTTGACCCGCATAATGCCTTTTCAGATATGTTACAATCATCTCTACACTTCCTTCCTTTGTTTTTCTTTTTTTCTTCTGGTTGTAACACCGGTGAACATGTATTATTCATATGCTTCGTAACCATAAAATTCTCAGACTTCTTTTTAACCACTGCTCGCACTTTCCACATACAACCTTTTTTTTTGAAATTGACATCTTGCTTTCCATAAATATGGTTCTGACTTGTATACATAGTATTCAAAGCATGCATCATATGAATTCTTTCATTACCTTCATTTTTAAGTCATCCTTATTCACAAACTCTTTATCCACGATAAAACTCAATCTATCTTCGAATGAGAAACCTTCATTGCCTTTTGCATGCCTTTGACCATCATTCCCATTCGTACTTTCAACTACAATATCACCAGTCATAATAACCACTTCATTACCAAAGTCGTATTTTTTACTGTAATATCACCAGTCGCGACAACCACTGCTTCACCTAACTCAGTCGTAATATCCTCAATCGTAACAATCACTTCATTATCATGTCGTATATTCTCATGCAAAGTCTCATGTTCAACCCTATACGAATCATCAATCACTTCCACATGATTTTGTTCCCTTTCTTCTCCATTAATAGCTCTCAACATAAAATCAACGACTAAACGCCTACCATCAATAATCCCTTTTCTTTTTTCACCATGAACATTAACTCCAACCTCAACTTCATCTGCACACATATGAGGTTCAAGGTTTGCATTAAGATCCTTCCACTCAACATATAACCATCCTCGTTGTCTATTAATTTTGCTAAACATCAAAGATTTAACTCCCATATCATCGACTATATATTCCGGTCGATTACCATCCATAAATATTGGTATGAAGCTTAATTTTGTTCTTCCGAAATCAACATTTAGCTGACCACAAACACTTCCCATAAGCTCATAATGTGTCACCACTTGTTTTGTTACAAATGCATATTGTCTTGGTTTTACCTTCATCTCCTTTCCATTCATGCAATCCATCTTCATTTGTTCTCAAATACCACCATATCGAACACAAACACGCATATACAAATCTTCAATACCATCCATTTTCCTGTAAAAACCACCAACATTCATCATTCCCTAAACCCAAAATCAGTTTTCAGATTTCATACCCTATACCCATATCAAAGCATATAATATAGTGCGGATGTGTGGCTCTCCCTTGCAGGAAATCTTGGAGGCTCTCCCCCTAGAGTGGTTGTGGACGCCGGGTCGTGGATTAATCAACATCTCACGACAACCCAACGAACAACAAAGCTAATCAAGAGTCTTCTCTTGCAGCTAGTAGTATACGAGATTTGGAAGGAACGTAATGGACGGACACATAAAGAGGTCGCAAACTCGCCACAACAATTGCGGTTCAAGATCGATAGGATAATGCGGAACATACTCATATCCTTGCACAAGCCGGATTCTACCGGATCAAATGACCCCCTCCAACAATGGTATCGCCTTATGTATTGATAACATGTATATATTAGTATATTTTTGTATAATATATACATTGTATTGTACGATATTTATATGTTTATAGGCTTTATTCGGTACAATTTTACTACGATTTCGATGTTTTCATATTTTGTAGGAAAGAGCGGAAAACGAGCTTCATCAAAAAAATTTTCATGGAATCAAGCTAAAACGGATGAACGCAAAAATCGTTCTGAAAAAAAAAAAAAAAAAAAAATTGAAACGATCGCGCCATCGTAATAATAATCGCGCAATCGAACATATTATATATATATATATATATATGATATATGTAGATAAAATATATATATATGTTAGTAGATGTATATATAATATTATATATAATAATATTTATATGTTAGTGGATATATATAATATTATATAAATATATGAATATGTGTACGTATATATATTAATATATATATATACATGCGTGTCTAGTATATATTATACAGATATATATAAGTATAATATATATATATATATCTATCTATATATCTCTATCTATATATAATATGTGTACGTAGTATTATGAATATATATATAATAGATATATATAGAATAATATAATAATAAAAGAAAAAAAAGAAGACGAAGATAAGAGGAAGAAAACAAAGAACGCCGCACTTTTTATCACGATCATGCCATTGTTTCTTGTGATCGTTCGATTCATCCGACAACTTTTCCTTGATTTATGCCACTCGCACGACAACGAAACAGACAGACACTTCGTCAATTTCTCTACTTAAGCAGATGCAGAAGTGAAGCAGAAAAAAAAAAACACGGAGACACGGAGAGACAGACGCGATCAGAGACAAAGTAAAGAGACAGAGAGATTGAGAAAGAGCTACAGAGAGAGAGAGAGGAGACGAGAGTTCAGACTGAGATCGGAAG